CCCAAAACCCCAAAACCCCAAAACCCCAAAACCCCTTCAATTGGAATTCTGATAGAACTTTGTAGAATTTTTAGGAACAAATGTTAATCTTCAAAAATATCTTTTAAGTCTGTGTGGCAGAATGCTACCATTGGGAGTTCTTTCATAATATCCTTGTTGAATGCTAACCTTTTGTCTAGCAGGATTCTATCGAGGCTATTCCTTCCTCTGAGAGTCCGGATGAACTCTGCATTGAGATCTAAATCTCCAAAGGATATAGTTGCATCGTATATAGTATCTGGGAGATTTCTCACTAAGTTTCAGATTGAATGGAAATCTCTACGATCAATGTACAGCCAGTCTATGAAGATGGACACAGGCTTCATTTTTATATCTTTGATATCTTTAGATTTCTCATTACCATTTCATTGATAAAGAATGTAACAAAGCTGGCTTGTCGCTGAAAGAGGCTGGGACATGAAATCATCATTCTCTCTTGGCGCTATAGATACCTTCTCTGCAATTTTGAGTATCTTCACATTGAGTTCGAAAAGATCCTGGTACCCCTCGAATTTATCTCTGATGTAAAGGTAATCAAACCCTGCAGAGAGAGGGTTTTGTGACTAAACAATGAACCGAGCTATAGCTTACCTTTGAGTCCCAACAGTGGAAGAAAATCCATTGGTATTCATCAGTTCTTTCCTGAAGGAAGAACATGATGAGATCTCTGTACCTTCTGTCTGGTGTAGTTTCTTCAATATTCTCGAATGAGAAATTCTTAATGGATTTAATTCCTACTACAGAGCTTGAGAGTCTGTAAAACTCAGAGCTCCAGCAGTTGCTATTATAATGGAACTTGATATTGTGGAGCTTATATCATATGATCTTCTTGGTGTGTCTATCCTTCATATAGACTAGCATTTCTTTGGAGCCGATAGTAAATCCCCTCATTTTTGAATAAGGATTTAGAGTGAACTTCCTTCAGGGTTCTAAGCTTTGTTCCTTTTTAAGCACAGATATGCTGGTGTCTTCAGAAACTAGAGGATCCAGAATACTCTTGAAGAGAGTATCAAAGTGGTCCGAGTCTTCTTCCATGTCAGTGTACAGTTCAAGCGAGAGAGATGTGAGAGGAGAGTAAGAGCTTATTACTTTCTGAAAAGACTCATGAATGGAATCTTCAAACCCAAGATGCTCGTAAGACATAGATGTAATCTTCTTTGTTTTTGAAGACAAACTAGAGGGCTGACAATCACTATTCAGTTTTAGACAAATGTGTTTGCTAATATCCTTTTCTCCTGATAAGTTTTCCAACATTGATGGAATAACTATAATCTCATTTTTCAAAATATTCAGCTCGATCAGTCTTTCTAATAGTTGAGAAGGCTTTGGGCCAATTGAAGAGCTGCTAAATTGGCATTCTAGAGATACATGCTCCAATTCAATATCTCTTCTGTCTCTTTCGATAGTATCAAGAATTTTTAACAATTCTGAACAATGAGCTTCACCAAGATCATCTATTTTGAGGTGGAAATATTTGAGCAATTGGATGAAAGTCTCATGATCGTATGTCTCAACTTTTGACAACATAATTTTTCTCTTATTGTGTTTAAGAATAGTCCTTAGCATTGCTAGTTCATTTTTGTCCCATAGCTGCTTAGTCTCCTTACAAAGTCCTCTCATAAATTTAAATCACTTATCTGTATACCCAAAGTAGGGCAACATGTTACTTCAGAGACTAATATTGGTTAACAATTTTGCATAACTATACGATTCCATTTGATCTGAATTAATTTATCCACTCAATCACGCTTATAAATACTGGGGTTTTGGGGTTTTGGGGTTTTGGGGTTTTGGGG